TAGAGGGACTAGGAAGGGTTTCTGCAATCAAGTGTTTCCCCTCTGAGCAATGGTTGTAAGGCTTTCTGATTGATCAAGTTAAATGTTAACCCACAAAGAGAAACCCAAATGCTTTTTGTGTGTGTGGTACCTAAATTCAAAAACATCGAGGTTACACTTCACCAACTGTTATAAAAATCACATTTTGTCATTCTCTAAGTGTTTATCTTTTTTTTTTGTTGTTGTTGTTGTTAACTCTAGCATGTGTGTGGTGACTTGGTTTCTGATTTTATGATTAACTCCAACAGCTCATTGCTGGTACATGGATGATAAGGGCAGGCGTTTTTGTTTTTACATTATGTCTTTATAGCTTCTGTTAAAGACTTTTCTCCTTGGCAGAATGAATTTCCATGTACAAAGCTTATGTGGGGGTTTGGATATCACGGCGAATTCCTCTGAATTATTAACTATAATATGAATCACCCCATCAAAGGCTCTGTAACTGGATATTGTTTTTGCTCTCTTGTGACCCCTTTTAGTTTATAAGTTCAAGTGTAAGAGCTGAAGTTCTCCACACACTGGAAAGCTCTATCCAAAAGGGAATACCTGTCATCACAGATACATCTCACTTCTGACTTTTTAAGACATCTCCTTCAGTATCTCCATCAGCGGTCAGACATAAGCATGTCTCCCAGTTCTTAACCCCTTTCCAGATTTCTGTATCTTTGAGTCATGAACTAATTAGTTATCTGAATAACTTAAGAAGTTTCCTAATTTCTAAAAAAAAAAAAGCTTTAATATTTTGATATATTATAAATCTTTGCATAGTTGTGTCTTTAGAGATGAATCCTCTTAGGTAAATAATCAGAATCAAAAAAAGGAATTCATAATTCACTCACTGGAGCAGAAAATTTATGAAATCAACAACCTTTCATTTTCTTGTTATGAAAAGCTGGCACTGTTTTCCTTGATGAATTTGCCTATCATCTTACTCTCTGCCCAGAAGGAATGCTCAATACCCACTTTGATAGACAGCAGGACCAACAGGCAGAAACACAAACAACATGGGAAATACCTCATCAACGTACTCAATGAAATATGCCTGAGCCAAACGGAACTACATGTAATCTTTGGCTTTCGGCCTCAGCAGACTTGTTTGCAATGGTGTTCCTTCACATGCAGACAACGTGACACATTTTAGTAGTAAGACCTATACAGGTATGCCAAAGAGACGCTTACCTCCTGTTTAGTGAGTTTGGTTCCATCTTTGCCCTCTGTGTTCTCTGGAGACTAGAAAAAAAAAACAAAAACATTGCAATGAACTGTATTTAAATTTGAAATAAAAATAATGATTAAAATGTGCATGGGTAATATGACTCCTAGCACCAGATACAACCATATATTATTTTCAGGGAAAAATGCATTTATTAAGTATATATTTTAAGAGTGTGTATAGTGTGTGTGTGTGTGTGTGTGTGTGTGTAAAATCATCTTTGTGTGCATATATGGAAGCCAGATGTCAACAGTGGGTATCTTCCTCTATTGCTTTCCACATTATTTTATTTTATTCATTCATTCATTCATTCATTCATTCATTTTTGGAGATAGTGTTTCTCTGTGTAGTTTTGCACCTTTCCTGGAACTTACTCAGTAGCCCAGGCTGGCCTCGAACTCACAGAGATCCGCCTGCCTCTGCCTCCCAAGTGCTGGGATTAAAGGCGTGCGCCACCACTGCCCGGCTTCCACATTATTTTTTGAGACAGGGTCCCTCATTGACCTCAGAGCAAATTGGTTGGCCAGGATGACTACCCAGCAAGCTTCTGGAATTGTGTATCTCTGCCCTCAGAGCAGGGAATATATAAATGCAGCAGTGTTTGGCTTTTATGTAGGTGCTGGTGATCCAAATTCAAGTCTTCATACTTTCATGGCAAACACTATATCCACTTACCCAGCCCCAAGGTATATATTTCTCTCTCTCTCTCTCTCTCTCTCTCTCTCTCTCTCTCTCTCTCT